GTTTGCTTGAAGATTGATTGAAGATCATAGGACCTAGGAGCTAGAGAGAGCCTTAGAATAGAAATATGATTCATAAACATGGATGGTTTCTGTTGCCTCCATTCTTCTCTATGATTCAAAGTCTCTCTTTGATACTCACCTCCTTCCTTTGGAAGGATTAGTGACAGTATCTAGGAGATAAAACTTTTGAGAGAAACAGTCTGTATTTTGTTAACAGTCTGTATGCCACCTTTGGTGGTTAACTGACTATTTAACATCCCAAATCATCTTGTGAACTGTTACTCATTTAGGAGAGCTTGCTTTGAAGAATCCCTTGAAGATTGAGGATGAAGTTCATTGCCTTGAAGACTGATAGAAGAAGGAGCTTGTGCTGTCGGGTTTTGCTGTTTAGAGCTGCTGGTGTTGTTTAGAGCTGGTGATGTTTTGTTTGAGTTTCTTGACTGTATTGTTTGTCATTTTTCCCCTTGAGGTTGAAGTGAAGTTGTTTCACTTTGCCTATTGTTTTCTAGGTTCGAGGTTGAGTGGGACTCCTTTGCCTCGCTTGTACTGCTGCATTCATGCATTTTACTGCTTTACTGTATATATGCTGTTTCTTTTCTGTTTATCCCCTTAGGATCTCTGTTTCTCTCTGCGCAGGAGAGAAATATGACAGACATTAGGTTCTCATCCATGCATGACAACATTAGGATAGATTTTGATTCCCTTTTCCACCATAGGTTTTAGAGTTTTGTCTCTTCTTTCTCAAAACAATCAGAAAAACATAATAAACATTTCAAACACAATAAAAAACAGTTCTTGCGTAAAAGACTGTAAGCCAATCAAAAACGTCATTTTTGTCCGCTTGGACTCTTAATCAGGAAAAACCCTTTTCAGAAGGAGATAAAAACAATCAAGTCAGACTTGTGTCGTACGTGGCCCGAACTACGTTTGCTCTGATCTTTCATGCTGTATGAAAGTACGTAGGCATAGGATGTGATATCCTAGCGAGCAACCTTCCCCTCCTTTCCCGTAGGTAGGCGAACTACGTTGACTCTGATTTCTCGTTCCAGACGAGAATACGTAGGCATAAAGTGCGATACTTTGCCGAGTCATTTTATTTTCTTTTAACCCCAGACCTGTAGAATAGATAGAATAACAATCCGTACCAAAAAACAAGCGTGGATCCCGTCGAGTACGACGGACGTGAGGGGTGCTAATACCTTCCCCTTGCGTAACCGACTCTCGAATCCAGGATTTGGTTGCGATGACCATTCCTTTCCCGTCTTCGCGGTAGGTTTACTTCGAGCGTTTCCTTTCCCTTCGTTGGGATAAATAACGCACGGTGGCGACTCTTCTGTTCAGCCGACGCCGATTTTCGCAGTAGCGACACATGGCTCTCCTAATTGGCTTTTAACCCTTGGGAAGACCTTACTTTGACTTTGCTATCACTTATCTTGGGATTTCCTTGGATACTTTAATTCATCTGGTTATTATGCTTGCGGTTTAAATCCAAAAAGGAAGATGAATGCTTATGTTGACTTGTTGTCAAGTGTTTTCCCCTTGTGTGGTTAGATCTTTCCTTCTTTAGCTTTCATTTTATGTTTTAGGGTAGTCACTTCATCTCCTCCCCTTCTTCAATTTTCAAAATCTTCTCCCTTTTTCAACACCTCTTATTTTCAAACTATAACCTCTTTCACAATAAACCTTGACTTTGTCAAGTGCTTTTTCAAACTTCAATTTATTTAATAAATGCTATTTAACTTTAAGCATATTTTGACCATTTCAAAAAGACCTTAAAAAACACTTAAACTCATTCAAATTTTTGTGCCTTTGTGTACTTTTCCATTTAAAACTTTTCATAAAATTTAGACATGAGTCATTTTCATAGTTGAGATGTAATTCTCATATTCTTCATAGTATTAAAGATGTTGACATTTTCCACTTAGATATTGAGTGATAGACTTGTTGATTTTTATCCAAGCAAAATCCTTCATCTCAAGATGATGTAAATGTTGTTTTCTTATACTTGTGTGCGACTAGTTGCAGTTTTCTCCTTAAAATGACAACTTGTCTTTTCATTTAAAATGAACCAAACAAATCCAATTTTGTTATTTGTACCATGAACTACGGGGTTTTGATCCTATATTGCACTTTGTGGGTACGTAGGCATAAGGCTTAAGAAGTCTCTCCAAACACAAAAATCTTTGTAAAAAACAATTTCTCTTATCATCTCCCCAATCTCATTTCAAACAAACCTTTTCAAACCAAAAATCGTAGATACTTCAAAGGGTTTCTATAGAGTATTATAGACGTTTTGCATGCTAACACCTTCCCTTAGCGTAACCAACTCCCTTACCCAGTCTCTGTTTATTTGTTCTTGTTTTAGAACTTGTTTAGCTTACACTCACAATTTTTACCGCTATAACATGTACAACAAGGTTCTACAAATTTCCCAGAGTCGTGATTCCATATTTCGGATATTACTGGCTTAAATGACTACTCGCCAAAAACTCGTTTGAGTGTAGTATCTCCTAACAACTAATCCAAGTCTACACCTGAATAGTCACCGCACTACGTCCTAAAAAGGGACAAGATGGGTTAAAAGGTTCTAAGGTCCTCAGCTTCTCAGGCTCTCAATTTGAAAGTACAATGCCTTCACAAGTCAGCTTATTAAGGATTAACTTCATGCAAGCCAAACATGATTATACCACCATCCTATCTCAAGTGCACTAAAGTCCGAGTATAGGACTTATCTCACCACTAAGAGATCACCAAGCACCAAAAAACAAAAGCAAACAGTCCCACCCAACGCAGGTAATCCTAGGTAATCCTGGTTTCAAAGTCTTAGGGCATTGTGGAATTCTGGATAGTGAGACTAAGGTGTGTGACTTGATTGATGATGACTTAGGGTGTTGGAAGAAGGATCTAATATTCTTAAATTTTGGGCAGTAGGAGGCTTCCTTAATTGTCAGCATCCCTCTCTCTCCCTGAGAGACATTGAAGATGAGTTGATATGGCATTATGAGAAAAATGGAGAATATTCTATGCGTTCTACATATCACCTTTGCATGAATGAAAAATATAAGTTGCATCTTGGTCCCTCTTGTGACCCTCAAAACCTTTGAAAGTTCATCTAAAAGGCTGCACTAACCAATAGAATCTGCAACTTCCTTTGGAGAATGGCCAAAGATATACTGCCTACGAGGGGAAACCTTAGGAGGAAAGGTATGAACATAGACCCAACTTGTCTCTTTTGTCATGATGAAGTTGAGAATGTGGAACATCTTTTCTTAAATTGTGATTTTGCTAGACAAACCTTTTTCTCATCGATCTTGGGCTTAGGCTCCAGCCGAATGTTGGGTTGTGCACTTGGCTTAAGGGCATTTTATCTGGTAAGGATAAATGAGCCATTCAACTGGTGGGCACTCTGGTCTATAAAATCTTGTTAGCACAAAAACTTGCATATGTTTCAATCCAAACAGTCCCATCCAACGCAGGTTGCTGAAGAGGCTTTTAGTTTAGTCCTTAAGTATAATAAGTGAAACCCTATGATTGGCATTAAAAAATAAGTCTCTCCCTTTGTTGCGCCTCTTGGGAACGATATTAACATCTTACAGGTGGATGCAGGCGTTTCTGATGATGGACTTATTTCTTTTAGTTGCATTCTGAGGGATTCTGAGAAGGGCATCACTTTGTCTATGTGTAAATTAAAGGCCATGAGAGTGGAACTTGCTACTACGGAGCTGTTGGCCATCAGATGGAGTCTTTAGTTGGCTAAGAGTATTAATTTAAACAAAATCATCATCCAGACTGATTCATCTTTGGTTGTGGGCTGTATTAATTCATGTTTGAATGTTGCAGTGTTAGAACCATTAGCTGAGGATTGTAGATTCCTCCTTCGTAGCTTTAGTTTGTTATCTGTTTTGTATATCCCTAGTGAGTTAAATTACAATGCCCATAATCTTGCTAGATTGGGTAAATCATGAGGTTTAGGACTTGGTTGGGGAGTATCCCAATTTGAACCATCAATCAGTTGTATCTTTGCCTTTGCCGCTTTAATTAAATCTATCTTATCATAAAGAAAAGTGGTGTTTTTTTATTAACAAATATTATATGCATATATTTATGGAAAATATACAGTTTTGATGTTAAAAAAATATATATAATTTTATACTATCAATCAATCATCAATATATATCAATCAATCATCAACATATAATCTACTAAATTACGTCTATATTTTAAAATTACGTTGGTGACATAGTAGACTAACGAATTTGTATTAAATGACAGTAAAATGATTTTATTGATCTCCCTTTTTGGTATGATCCTTATATAAATGCTCTTTTTTTAGTTCAAGTAGAAAAATATTTATACTTTTGCACGACTCTTTTAATTTGCTGTTGATATACAAAATCGATGATCTAAAATATTTATTTATATTAAAAAAAGAAGTGATAAAATAAAAATAATTTTAAAAAATTGAAATATTAAATTATATTATTACACTAGAGACAATTTAAATTTGAAATTGAAGAAGATAGAAAATAAAAAGGAAAATAAAAAGAGAAAAAAAATACTAAAATATATAAGTTACTAATTTATTCTTAAAAAAATTTAATTTTAATTAATTAAATAATGATAACAATAAAAAACAATCCGCAATTGCACAAAAGGTCATAATAAAATGGTATCGATAGATGTCTATATTATCACCACTTATAATATTTATAACTAATTTACATAGTATACACCAATCAAAATTGCAAAATCCTTGTAGTTATTTAAAAGGAGAAAAGCTCGTTGGACAAAGAGTATAATTTATTTATGGAATTTGGCATAAATCTCAAGTAAAATAGTATCCACATGCACATATCCTAAGAATGGAAACATATAATTTCATCCTCAATGTTAGCGAAGAACTCTCTTCACCTTCCAAAACAAGTTCAAATACAACACAACTTAACTTGTCCCTACGAAACATCCAAACAACAATCTCTGCAATCAATCGAACATCAAAAATGTCGATGGTACCGAGTAACAACAACCCGTTCGAGGGTTCCGCATTCTCGAGCTCAATGCAAGAACTTTCCCGAGAGAATCCAAGTTTTCTGAACGAGCAGGTTGATTGGAAGGAGACAGCAGATGCTCATGTGTTGAAAGCTGATATACCGAAGTTGAAGAAAGAGGAACTGCGGGTTGAGGTTGAAGATGGAAGAGTGCTTCAGATAAGAGGAGAGAGAAGCATGGAGAGAGAAGAAGCGAATGATGGATGTCATCGTGTGGAGCGGAGTAGTGGGAAGTTTATGAGGAGTTTTACTCTTCCCAGTAATTGTAAACTGGATGGGGTTAAGGCTTCTATGGAGGATGGGGTTCTTACTGTTACTATCCCTAAGGATGCTGCTCAGGAATAATCATCTTTTGACTCGTTAACTGGTTAGGATTCAAATTGAGAAGAATTATATCCATTCTATTTGAATCCAGATGTTCCTTCTTCCCTGTCTTTTTTTATTTATATATATAAATAAGATACTTCTTCCATATTTGATATTGTATTTTGGAGATTTAGAAAAATCTGTAATGTAACAAATGAGATTTGTTTTGTTTAATTAATCAATTATTTTCTTGAATCATAACATGCTGTGTTGTTTCATAAGCATTATTTGATCATGATTTGTGTTAGAAAATGATAGATTTCAGGTCATACGAATGACATGGTCACCGGATATAAATTCTAGTTTGTTTTGTATAACTCTGTTGAGAAAAGATATGTTGACATCAGGATTTAACACCTAAACCGTAATTGTCTGTATAATACATATTAATTGTGTTGTTTAATAATTTATTTTGCATTGGTTTGAGTGCAAGAAAAAAAATTTTTGATGATAAATAAGGTGTATAGTAGGGTGTACTGAAAAGGGGTGTCAAATTAGCAAAACTCTAACTCAGTTCTATAGTATATTCATTGAAAGTAATAGATATAAATTCAAGTTTGTTTTGTATAATTCTGTTCTATAGTATATTCATCGAAAGTAATAACTCAATTCTATTTATAATTTTCTTTTATACCTCCATTTTTTATTATAAATTATTTTTGACTTTTTATACGTTTTAAAAAATATAATAATTATGATATGAAAGAGAAAAATTATAAATAGTTTTATAAAAAAAATGTTTATTAATAATATTGAAAAGACAAATTTAAAAATAATATACTAAAATATTAGTTATATTTATTAAAATATTATTTATTTTAATAATTATCAAATTAAATCTACATTATAATTTATGCAGTCTTTCTAGAGAATACAAAACATTTTTCGAAAAATAACTTAAAAATAGGGCTGATCTAATCAATCTAAAGATCCTATTCGAATTTTAAAAATAGACTTAATAAAAATATTTGTGGTGTCAATTTAAATCGATTATATAGTAAAAACACATACTATCTATAAATAAAATTATTCAATGTTCAATTTGATTTTGAATAATTACTTAAAAAAATCAAATCCTATTAAATTTTATAAAATTTAAAATAAATTTTGTCTTTTGTTTACATCGATTTATATTTAAACACCCTTAATTATAATACATATTACACATAGCAGTTAGTTTGTTTTCAATTTATACTTAAACGCTTATAAGATTTATACTTTTTAAATTATATATATGGGTCACGTTAAGAATTTTAAATAAGAAAAATATGTTATATTTAGTTCACTCAATACATACAATATTCTTTAAAAAGTCTGATTATTTTTCTTTTTAGAGTATTGAATACATATATATTTAGAAAAAAAATATATTTTCAATCTCTTAAATAATGCCCAACTTACCATTTTAATCTCTTAACCAATACCCTGAGGACACTCATTAGTATTTTCCTATATTATTGAAATAAAAAATGTGTAAGATTACAAAAAGAAGTTTTCTTAAATATTAGAATTATTAATTTGTTCTGTCAAGAGTATTAGAATTTCAAATGTCTTCACTAATTGATAGACTAGCTTTTCTTTTACCAGAGATTGATAGGCCTAGCTCATTACACATTAACATTAACACAGTATTAACTTTTCATGATTACTTAATTAAAAGAATGCATTGATTTTTAGAAACTCTTTAAATATTGAGGCCATGGAGCACTGTTTGCACATGTACAGGGTTGGCACAGCTTTAAAATGATTTAATTTTACCATTTTTATTTATATTAAAAATTGAAAACTTATTTTTGTTTATAAATAAGACCAGAGAAAAAAAGAAGTACTTCAAATATTTCATATCTAAAAAACAGTTATAAGTAAGGATTGTATTTTAAAGAGTACAAGTTATTTCCAAAAACAAGTAAAGTTATAATCTAATCGGCCATACATTCTTCACTCTCTTAATATTTAGATACAAACTGTCACGCCTCAAATTTTATTTGAAATATTTAATTTAATTTATTTAAATTAGAATATTCGTATTTCGGTGATTTTTGGTGGTTTTGTATAGTTATTGAGAATTATGTATTTTTGAGGTATTTATTTAATTAATAGTATATAATATGAATATATTAGTATTATTATTAATTAAAATAAATATAAGTGAAATAAGGAAAAATTGGACAATGGAGAGGAGTTAGTGAGGGTAATATGGGAAAAGCCCAATTGTGAGACCCAAGACTAGGTTTAACAAAAAGGAAATTGTGAAGGGATTAGGATTCATCTGTTAGACCGTGAAAAGAATTAAGGTCAGAGCTCAAGAGGAAGATTAGAGGCGAAAGTTTCGGAAGGTTCCCTGAAAGATTTGAGAAGACTTTGAGTCGACAATTAAGGTATGGGGAGTATTTCCTTCGTGATTTTCCATGTGTAAATTCAATGTATTTAAGGTCGATTTAAGGGATTTTGGAGGTTGATTATGAGAAAAAGTGATTCTGGCCTTCGTAGCCTAAATCTACTATTGTGATTTTAAACGTAGGGAGTTCTTTGGGAAAAAGGAAAATCAGGCCTTCGTGGCCAAAACTCTGATTTGTTATTTGGCTAACCCTGAAGGGATATGAATATTAGATAGTGAGTAATTCTAGTGAGTATGGGTAACTGCAAGGAAATTTGTGATTTAGGGCGTGAATATGATACATGATTGGCCTAATAAACCGTAGGTTTTGTGCCTTTATCGCCGTAAGACCTTAGGGATGATTTAGGGATGTTTTGGGGGCATTGGGGAAGTGAATCGTGGGGCTTTTTGGTTGATTTTAGGTTCTAGTGCGTAGCAGAGTTTGCTGTCATCGCACAGTTCGCCTAGCGAAGAATGCTTCGCACAGCAAACGATTTAGTCCCAGACTCGCCTAGCGAAGAATCCTTCGCACAGCGAAGAAACTCGCCCTAGACTCGCCTAGCGAACTTGCTAGCGAACGTTGCAGAGTTTCGCGAATGTAGACGTTGTGCAACAATGCCTTGATGTTTTGATTCTGTGATTTCTTTGACGAATTAACATGAGTATGACTGTGAATTCTATGTGATGTATACACGATTACATGATGATTGTTATGATGTAATATGATGATATTACCATGAGTTTTGATGAATTCTTAAATGACATGAGATATGATGATGATTGTGATGATGATGATTATGATGAATGATGATGCACCTATGCTGTTATTATGAGGATGATTATTGACGTGTGCATCATGCACTCATGTGCATCCGGACTTCGGTTCAGGACCTTGATTACTTTGGCTTCGATCCCATTGTGTGGATGTGAGGTATTTTGATGTGCTCCGGTTCTCAAGTAGAATCGATCCTATTGATGGGGATCTATGGAGGGTTGATGGCCCAGTGTCCATCGAGCTGTGATGATTGGTACCACATGCATTGAGTCTTGTTGCATTTGCATTTATGAGATGATTTTGAGTAAATTATGATGTTATGGCTTGATGTCCATTGATGAATATGATGATGTTGAATATGATAATGACGCCATTTTATATGTTGATTTTTTATATTGATTATTATGAATCATTTTACTCACCCTGCCTGTTCGAATGTTGCCTCCACGTGGGTAACGCGCAGATGACCAGGTTTAGCTGTGGATGCCATTGAGGACTTTTGAAGTTTTGCGTCGTTGGCCTTTTGGTTAACTTAGAGGCTCTTACTCTGATAGTGTAACATTGGGTTGGGGTCTTTGAGTCGAACCATGTTTTATCGATGTTATTTTGATTATCTTTCTGTATAAGGAAAACTTTGGATTATGCCTTTGAGTTCCGCTGCCTTTGTGCAATTTTTGATGCCTTTTGGGAAAATCTGTTGTTTACGGAGCCTTGACTTATTTTGAGGATTTGGGAAATGTACGCCCTTTTGAGGTGGATTTTATTGAATTTATTATTTTACTCTGATATCTGTGTTATTTTTCCCTAATAATTGTGGGGTAGAAAAAGGTGTTACATTAGTGGTATCCGAGCAGGTCCGTTCGTCCGGCCAAGTTTTTATATTGTTAGTCCCCTGTTAGTCGATAGTGTGAGAACACTATTGGATGAGTTGTTTTCTTCTAACCCTGTTGGTGGTTGCAGATGGCTGGAAGAAATGATCGTGCTATTGCTGATGCGCTAGAATTACTTGCCCAAGTGATGGCCCATAATGGTGGACCTCCAGATGAGTTTCGTGCTCTGGGAAAGTTCTAGAGGAACAATCCGCCGACTTTTATGGGCACTCATGATCCTGATGGTGCGCAGAAGTGGCTGAAAGTGATTGAGAAGATTTTCCGATTTATGGCGTGCACTGATGCTCAGCAGGTGCAGTTTGGTACGCATATGCTAGCAGAGGAAGCTGAGAACTGGTGGGATAACACTCGTTAGACATTGGGAGATGTTGGCATTGCAATAACTTGGGTTGTATTCAAGGAAGAATTTTTGAGGAAGTATTTTCCTGAAGATGTTCGGGGCAAGAAAGAGGTGGAATTCCTTGAGCTGAAACAAGGAAATATGATTGTGGCTGAGTATGCGGCAAAGTTCGAGTATTTAGTAAAGTTTTTTCCGCATTACAATTGTGCTGATGCAGAGATGTCAAAGTGTCTCAAGTTTGAGAATGGGTTGAGACCGGAGATTAAGCAAGGAATTGGGTACCAGCAGATTCGTCGATTTGTGGAACTGATGGACAAGAGCAGAATTTATGATGAGGATAGCCGAGCTCGATCTACTCATTAAAAGCAGCTGAGTGAGAGGAAAGAGAAAGGTCAGTATAGAGGGAAGTCGTATGTGACTTATGGTGACAAAGGGAAACAAAAGGCTTCGGATGGGAAAAAGTCAAGTGGGGGAGCAGCTACTGCTCCAGGTAAGTGTTATAAGTGTGGCGAGCAGGGCCACCGTGTTGAGAATTGTAGAGCGCTGAGATGTCACTGTTATGGCAAGAGAGGTCATAGAGCTACCGACTGTAAAGAG